GCTCGCGCGCGCGCGCGCGCTCGGGCCGATTTCAATCGAGTCGATTCGAGCCACTGATTAAAACGATCGTGTAGGCGCGCCGCCCGACCGGCTCGAGGGAGTGTATATACAATCCGACCGATTTGGATGTATCTCGGCGAGAGAGCCAACTATCTCGTCAATGAGATAAAGCCTCCGGGATGGATTAAAGGAAGAGCCGTGACGCGCCGCGGAGTATATGGCATCGGCGGGGGCAAGAGAGAGTTGAGAGATAGAGAGAGAGAGGGAGAGAGAGAGAGAGGATTAGAGAGGAAGAGAGAGATAGCGAAGAGAACGGGAGAAAGGGAAGAAATAATGGGGGAACGGGGCGGAAGGGGGATGATGTAGGAATCCGACCCGCGAATGCGTTTATCTCGATTCGCCGAGGTCGCGTTACATGTTCGCCGCTGAGAAGCATTTCATCAACGTCGTTCGTCCTCAGCTCTCCTCTCTTTTCCCGCCGACTCCCGCATATCCCTTTTCACCTTTTGTTCCGTTCCTTCTCTCGCTCGCTCGTTATCTCTCGCTCTCGCTTCTTGCACACACCCCCTTCTCCCTCCCGCCTTTCCCCTGCGCTTTCCGTTCCATATCTTCCTCCGTTTGTGTCTTCGCTCTTCGCCTCTTCCTTCTCCTCTCGTACTATCTTTCTTCTTTGTGGACCGCGTCTCTGATGTTGTTTTCCCTCCGCGCCGATCTCTTTTTGTTTCCGCGACGGGAACATGCGAAACGCGAATACTTCTTCGCCTTTGCTCGGCCGACGACGACAACGACAACGCGAGACGTACAGTCCGCGCGGATTTGTTTTGTTTAACTCGTCTACATTGTTTTTTTTTTTCTTTCACCGACTCTGCGATCTTACACGAGTTCTCTAAAAATCATTTTAGAGATCACAGAGGGTCGCAAGTAGATCCAAGGATGGAGACATGTTCTGCGATGTTGTCTTTTCGGAGTAAGTACGTGCGAATAATTAATGCCGTTTCGCGATAAGAGTCGCACATTGAGTTACGCTTCGGAGCCTGAGCGCGTTCAGTTCGCGCGGAGAGAATCGGATTCCGCGCTTCGATTCAATTCTCGTGGCGCGATCCCGTCGTCCTTTGCGACGACGAGACTTGCAAGTCTGATCATAGACGACACGCTTGGGGGAATATTTGACGACGGTGTGTTCCGTGTGTGAGAGAAACGTAACTCCGCTAAATACACACGGTCGCGCGGTCTCGCCGATCGCACGCGATACGCGATGCACATGACCGCAATTTTTTCGAAAGTCGACGAAAGAAATTTTACTTTTCTTCTGCCGCGCTGAATGCGCGAGCCTTTTTTTTTTTCTTTCCTCTCCGATTTGTGCCGGCGATAAGCCGGCGAACTCGCATGGGTTCTCGCTTGTCTAACAGGAAGATCGCATTCAGCGCGGGCACGAGATGAGAGCCGGACTTGCTGGCGCATTTAGCGCTAAATGGGTGGTGAGAACGGCGACTGATAAAAAGCATTTGCGTGCGGCGGTTTCTTCGCGCGCGCGGACGAGAGAGTTCGGCGGCGTGCGATTATTACGTAAGACCGACGATGAGGATTGACGAGTGCTCAGTGTTTTTTTTTTTTTTTTTTTTTTTTTTGATTGACACAGCAATTAAGTGAATATTATTGACGTGGTAGTACAATACAACATCTTTTTTCTTAATTAGATTTTATTTGAATGTTTTATGACATTGATGAATATACATAATACGACTCTTTGAAGAGTGCTGGGTGTTTCGTTTTCTTGATTGACACAGCAATTAAGTGAATATTATTGACGTGCTGGTACAATGCGAGGTAAATATAGAATAGGGGAGAGTCCCCTCCGATCGGCTTCTCGTTTACATATATTGTAAATATGACTTTCCTGAGTACGTTTCTAAAAATTTTAGCCGTCGCTCATTGTTTATAAAAAAGTTACGATCACACACACACACAAAAAAAGCTTCATAAATAAATTTTTATGAATTTATAAGGGGGGGCGCAACCCCCCTCCTGCCTACACGCTTTCAACACACAAAACATGTACATGTTGTAGGGAAAAAAAATTTGTTTATGAAACTTTTTTGATCATAACTTTTTTATAAACAATGAGCGACGACTAAAACCTTCATATTGTTACTCGGGAAGGTAATCTTAATAATATATGTGAACGAGAAGCCGATCGGAGGGGGCTCCCTTATTCTGTTATATTTACCCCATACGATATTTTTTTTCTCAACCCTCTATGGGCCGAATTTTTTTCTTAAATATAACTTGCAAGGTATTTATTTTGACATTTCAGGTTGATGGTGCTGCCAACCGTCGTCAATATTGTTATTGGTTATTTCAGAGGCATTATATAATTAAGACGTATACGTCATCTGATATTTGATGCTTTTGCGGTGTGTAGTATTAACATACAAAGATGTTTTTTCGGGTTTGAACCGCGTTAGTGTCATTTTTATACCGACGTTTCGTGAACATTACAGCTCACTTCATCAGGGTTTAAAGAGCAGCCTGATACTGTATCTTTAAACCCTGATGAAGTGAGCTGTAATGTTCACGAAACGTCGGTATAAAAATGACATTAACGGGGTTCAAACCCGAAAAAACATCTTTGTACGTCATCTTGTGAAAAAAACTAAAACTATTTGGTAAAATGTGGATATATTAGCTTGTGGCTTGAAAGTTACATGGGCCCATAGAGGGTTAATTAGATTTTATCCAAATGTTTTATGACACTGATGCATATAATGCGATTCCTTGAAGTTATTTTTTTAACTTAACTTCGAACTTTACAACCGATAAATCCAAGTGTGATAATTGCGTACTAGAGATATCAAGACACTTGTCTTATTTCCCTTAACATATTTCTTTGGAGGGAGGAAGGAAGGAAAGGGGAGGAATATTAAAATATCGTTTTTGCGTCCAAGTACAATACCGAGTACACGACACGAGTATATGTCGTCGTCGTGCGTGCATCGCAAAACCGGGGGCAAACATAATTGCGATAAGTCGCCGTGTAGTACAATTATTGCGAAATTAAATGTGTCTCAAGGGCGCGGCTCTACCGAATTGCGTTACGCGACTGCGCGATTATTGCGATATTAATTTCGTTTTATGCCTCCTGTTACAGGTCCAAATGCGCGGAATAATTCGGTACAACGACTCCGACTCCTCGCCTTGCCTCGCCTCGTCTTTTGCGGAAGAAAACAATCCCCGTTATTAGACGACCGGCGAATAACACGCGACTGCAATAAGCGAAATCGCCGACTCAAAAGAGAGGTAAGTGTACTCGAGTAAGCTCTGAGATCCTCTGTTTTTTTTTTCTCTCCCGCATATCCTGTGCGCCAATCTTTTGACGATCATTTTCGAAAACGCGCGTTTTTCGTTCCGCGTCATTGACACGGAGAAATTTCTTCCTTCTTCCCCTCCCCACTCTCTGTAAAACGATTGGCTTTTCCTGACGTTTGCGAATTCGATTGTAGTCCTTCCGACAGTGTATACGTGTACACATAGAATGCGGTTCGAGAGAGAAACCAAAATTACTTCGGCAGACTGCTTATTCCTCTCTGAACAATGCGTACATACACACACAAACAGAAAGAGAAAGAGAGAGAGAGAGAGAGTGAGTGAGTTTACTCAAACAAAATCTTCTGCAAACTATTCGTCTGATTTCTGCGTCTCTCGGTATAAGGCAAGGATGTTATTTTGACGACGACGGTTTTACTTAGATTGCCGACCGCGCGCGAAACTCGTAATTATGATTTATACTCTTTCCCCGCTATCTACCCCGAACATCCTACCAGTTTATGCATAATAGCGCGAGTTGTAATATACCGTTGTGGCGAGATAGTGCTCGAGACGTTACTTCTGTGTCTATCATCTATCACGGTGCGCTGCACACGAACCAATTAATCTTAATTATACGTTCGCGCTCTCCCAAAGATGGACGAACGTTTTGAGAAAAAGAGCGATTGTTTGTTCGTCTCTCGTGCGAACGCGCGTGTGATATTAGACGCTGTTCGTTTTTTTTTTTTTTTTTTTGCGTTTATATTTGGAAACACGATTCGACTCGTGCGTACGCACGCACGCATGCACGCTCGCGCGCACACATCGGGGGGATGGATGTGCAAACAAAAATATATCGGCGACATTTTTTGCAAACGTTCGGGAGTCCTTTCGAGCGCAAGTCGAAATGCACGCGCGCGAACCAAAGGTAATTTTTTCAAGCCAATCGCGCGCGAACGTGATTTGTCTTTTTATCGGGCGCAAGTTTTGCAATACATTTTTTTCATTTCCTATTTTTTTTTTTTTTTTTTTTTTTTGAATACTCGCCATCGCTTATAATACGCGTGGGTCGCTCGTAGCTTTTTATCAGGACCGGAATAGTAGTGCGACGTGAAAGAGCAAACGAAAGGGACAGAAAGAGAATAAAATAGAGAGGCGGCGAGAGAGAGCGGGTGTATGTTATCGAACGGAATACGTCCATGTGTCGAGACGGAATCGACATTCCGACTACTACGCGTGAAGTTTTATTCGTTGCCAGACGGAAATTTGGGATAGTTGATCCTGCGTGTGCGGACGCAGTGGAAGGTTTTTCCCGGCAACATGAAAATTCGAAAACGATGCACTTCGCGAAATGAACTCGCGCGCCCGCGTTTTAAGTAAAAATAAAGCGGTCAACGCGAACAAAATATTTCAACGACGGATGATTTTTATCAAGCGTTAGATTCGAAAAGAAAACGGAACATTGAAAAGAGGAGACGAGATATTTTCGACGCTAAGAAATTGCATCCGGAAGTTCGAAAACATCGGTTTCGGGGCGGCATGTGTCTCCAATTATCCGCACTGTTGGGCTAACAGCGTGTTCGGGTAACCTATTCGGTTTTCTTTGTGTCAGAATCAAATTTATGTTATTCGAGCTTGTAAATGTATATAATTGTGTTTGTAAGTATGATAATTCACCTACACTGAAAAATCAGTTTTGTTGAGATAACAAAAATTTGATAATCTCAACAAAACTGTTTTTTCAGTGTGGTGCCCCGGTAGTCAGTGCGGAATGAGAAGGAAAGATCCTGGTTCGAGGTGTCTTTTTTGCAATGGAGTTTTTTTAAGGAGTAAAATAAATAATTCACATACATATAATGCAAGTATCTAATTTTCGAATTTATTTCGAATTATGTATAATAATTTATTTAAAAAAAGGATCTCAAAAATATATTCCGCGCGTCCAGCACATGGTTTTTATTGATCGAATAAATTTGTAAATTTGTTTATAATAATTCAAGTAACACAATTCTGAGATTACTTGAAATCACGTTTCAGGCGTGTTTGAATTGTTGGCTTATCTTGTCGCAAATTGAATTCTTACGTCGGTATTTTTACAGGTATATGCGTCGAAAGAAGAAACGTTAGCAAATTGCGGCCGTTATTATCCTCTTTGTAAAAGTGATTAGAGGCAAAAACTAACCGAGAGAGAGAGAGAGAGAGAGAGCGCTTCACGTTTATTAAGGGACAAAAATCTTAAAACCGCATTTTCTGACCCGAGATGAGTTTCGTTTGTATACGTTAGTAATTGTCTTCGGTGCTTTAAGACTGTCGAAAAAATTGGGTAATTAAGATGGCTGCCGCTGCGCATCCCGCAGCTCCTACGGTCTTTTGCCTCTCCGGGACGAGGTTTTTACCACACTGGATGCCGCAACCGCCACTATATTATATGCCGCCGGAATTTTGATGCTCCGCTCACCGTATACGGTTGCGGGAATACGTTCGCTAACATCCGATTCTTGAAGCCGCAGCGGGTGCCGCGAGATCATCCTGCGGCTCACTGCGGCAAACAAAATATATACGCGATAATGAATAATAAATTATAAAAAAAATTGTCATTATCTCTCTTCTTTTCTTAAATCGCGTAAATGTCAGCTTCTGCCGAGTGAATCGACATCTGTTGAATCAAAACCGTCATCAGAAGAAACAAGAAAGTGGACAAGTTTCAACGAGACGAGAGTTTTAATGTTTTTTTTTTTTTTTGTTTCTTGTTTTTAATTGAAAATTACGATGTGACCACAGATAATTCATTTTGCTTAACCATAGCGCAGCTTACGGTCAAAATAAAAGTGACTCAAGTAGCGTCAACGGTGTGTTTTCATTCAAGCTTCTTATTTCTTTCGGAAATTGCTAACGTGCTCTCGCACATGAGCACACAGCGCAGATGTTCTAGGCCGGGAGCGAGAAGTTTGGACACTTGGATGGGAACCCGTCGGGGATATCGAACGAAAATGTCAAGGGAGAGAACGTATCGCCGACGGGCGAAGAGATCGAGAGAGGCTGCGTCTCTCTTTTCTACAGCAGCGCGCGATAACTGGCGCGATTCCAATGGACAAAAGCACGAGCGAGAAGGGCGAAATAGAGGTGGACACGACACCCGAAAACGGGTCCAGTCATTCTCGAAATAGGCATCTGGAATGTGCCGACTCTAGCGAGAGAAAGAGAGAGCGAGCAAGCGAGCGAAGCGTCCATTCGATAAGGGTGTCGTGTGTGTATGTGCGCGCGCTTATCTGTGTACTTTTCTCTCTCTCTCTCTCTCTCTCTCTCTATCTATCTCTCTCGTGTTGCGTCTGCGGTCTATCTCGCTTCTTCGCTGTACGCGCCATTATCCACGACTATCATTAAACCTCGACTACTATGGTCAAATGTGGATAACGTTACTGATTGGTAGGCTCGGCGCAGAGACCTAATAGAGAAACGGCCTTTCTATCTTATGCTAATGGATTGGGAGACCACTTGAACTTCGTACTGATTAAGCACCAACATATTTTTCGACGATATAGATACATATATGGTTATTATAAAGAAATTTGAAATGCAGTAAATTAATTTGTCACGCGCTTTTTTTCTCTCCGACACTATCTTTATCTGTCCGATAGGTACAATTTAGATATGTTTTCGTTCCGGATCCAATTTCTTAACAAACCGGAGCTAAGAAGTCGTGATTGGGCGTTAAATTCATGAAAAAAAAAAAAAAACACAAATAAGAAAAATTGTGAATATTGCAATTTTGCATTTTTATTTATTATAAATTTAATACCTGACATTAAATTGTGTCAATAGTGTCTTTATACGTGAAGTAAAATCTTTTGTTAAATGATTTAAAAACATTAAGAATTAAATAACTGATATCAGTAATGATTTTATTTCATATCACAGAGAAAGAGATAGAGAGAGAGAGAGATAGAGACACGACACACGCACGTCAAAACTTATTGTCGTCTTATAAAACAAATTTACGGAAGTCGCATTATATCGCGTGAATGTCGCGCGAGAAGAAGAATATTTGCGACATTATGGAGCGTCTGAAATTAAAAACGAGTCTGTGTGTGTCGTTTCATTTTCACTTTGTCTCCGGGAACAATCGTCTCTCACGAAGATATGACTGTAGTCATACGTACCTCTCTTTTCAAACACATATTCTATTCCAAGACGCACAGAAAGAAAGAACAGAAGCCCGCGCGATCTCTGGAGGCGTAGCGCGCGCGATAGAAAGGAACGGCAAAGATCGGTGACGACAAGGGAAACGAATGCACCGAAGTAGTGGCTTACCCAGAAGAGGAGAAGAAGGGGGAGAGAGAGAGAGAGATACCATTTAGTAGCTTCGCTCGGAACGTTTTAGATAATGACCGGGTGGATTACCAGGTCTAGACGATAGGAGGAGGACCTTTCTTTCCTCTCATTCGATTCTGCCGTCGGCGCTGCGGTGGAAGTGAAGAAGAAGACGACGCGCCCAAGACGATCAGAAGCGAGCGAGCAGCGAGAGATCGAATCGGAGACGGAAAGAGAGAGAGAGGGAAAAAGAAAGAAAGAAAGAGATAAAAGGCGATCGACGGTGGAGGATCGATCGGTGCGTCGGAAGAAAACGAAGATAAAGATGGTCCGGTCAGAGCGTCCTGGGCAATAGCGAGCTTTCATTCCGAGGCATTATTCACGTCGTTTGCCAGGCAAACGGACGAGAGCCGGAAAACTCGACGGAGCGAGAAACATTGCGTTTTCGAGTGCGTCGCGCCCTCCGAAAAAAAAAAACAAAAAAAAAAAAACGACGAAAACTAAACTGTGTTTTTTTCCTCCGTCGTTCGTACGTGTAGTGGTGATGGCTTGGCCATCGGCAACCGGGTGGCCGCGTATACTACACACTCTCGTTGTACGGTCAGCTCCCGACAATTTTTGTCTCTTCTTCGTTTTTGCCCGCGTCGCTTCTATTTGAGCACCTTTTTTCGCTCGGCGCGATC